CTTGCTGAGCATGATAAAATTATCTTCTTCATTTTGGGGGCTCAAAAGTTCTTATAAACAGGGTAACATTCCCTCCAGTGCAGGGGGCCCAGGCAAGGCACTCCACAACACACAAAGTCTGAATGAGCAGTTTAAAGGTTGCTTATGATTTTGAACAGATCCCCTTGCTGCTGGACTTTCATCCTATCTCAACTTTCTACAAAGATATGAGCAAAAGAGCAAGAAAATCCATCTACCCGAGAAAAGCAACTAAGTTAGTATGGCTAAATATATGTGGCTTTTGCCAGTTGTTCCTCTGTTCGCATGCAAAGGACATTCGCAACAAGAATCTATTGAGCCAGCTGACATAAGACAATGCATCTATCTACATACCTCTATACTGTGTGAATGGTTTTTAAGGGCAAGGTTAACAACACTGTAATACTTACTTTTCCCTGTATGCATTCTCCCTCCTCTCCTTCCCCCGCCCCGCCCCAGAACAGGATTCACATTTGAAAATAAGCAGACAAGTGAATTATTCATAAAAGGGAGAACATTTCGTAGACTAAAATATTTAGACCCCTAGCTCTGAGTTTGGTCACACAGGCTACCTGGGCATCTTGGGAATTGAAATGTACCTAAATTAAGTGGTATAAAGAATACATATAAAATAGTGAACATTAATCAGAAAAGAAACCTCTAGCAATAATATCCATGTCAGTGTTTTACCTTTTATATGGAATTAGTTCAAATACAACTAAATGCACATGCAATTAATCAACATTCTTATGTTGTCCTACTTAACAACATCTAAACAGCTCATGTGAAATCCCTACATAAAATAGGCTCTGTGCAGAAATGTGCCATATGTCAATATTCAATTAAACAGTGTTAATAAAACCACTAAAAAAGAACTAATAGGGGCATGGATATGAAGTGCTCCTGCCATACATTAGTTGGTCTTTAAACATTTTATAAAGTAATGCAATAAAAAACTATTAAAATATTTATGTAATGTTTGCATTAGTTCTGTTTAATGTAGTCAGTAGAAACCCTACCAGTGGTTTAAAATGCAAAACTACTTAATATTGCATGGTTGTTCATTGGTTATGTTAAAAAAAATATTCCCAGTTTTAGAATTTCTAAGCTGTCTAATGCCTTATACTATTTTGATGGGGAGATAAGAGTTACTTCCCCTCTTTAACTGAGAGCATGACCAGCCACATTCATTTGTTTCTGAGGAATTGTGCTTTCAACAACTTATCTACTAGGTAACATTACAGTTAGCGTACCATAGTGGGGACTGTGGCTGAAGCAATATTAACCTTGAACTAGATTCTGCCACCCTTCCTCATATAGTAGTCCAAAATGAATCACAACCTCACCCAAAATCATTACTTATGGAGCTACACTGTAACCTTAAAATCTGCCCTGAATAAGGCTGGCGCATAGTTGCACTACCCCAGGTGCTGAACAAAGAATGAATTGAGAGTGACTCAGAGAATCATGAAGCCTTCCCTGCTCCCCCACTTGCTTTGTGGAACAGCTTTCTCCGCCATGTGAACCTGGCCAGCTGCTATAGGTTGTGAATAAGGGGGTGGAGCCAGGGGCACACAATGAAGAATAACAGGTGAGTAGTTCCTGATGTCCTCACCATCACGGGAGCCACACTTGGAGCAGGGACTAGCAGGGGAGCTTTATTCCCTGAACAACTGAGTCAAGCTGTGGCAATCAAGTTCATTGTGACTGCCCTTCTCTCCCTTCCAGGAACTAGCTAAGGGAAAGAGTTTCAGGGCCCAGATCATGATCTCTCCCACCCAGGCCCCCAAGGGGGAGGTGAAACTCTGCCTGCAACGTTAGTGGCTCCCCAGCCCTTTCACTCAGGGACCATTAAGGCTTCTGGGCTCTCTCTCCTTGCATATCCAAACACAGCAAAGATAGCTTGCCCACTCCAGTAGAAGCAGCTTATACAGAGTGGGGGCCAGATTCTGATACTGTAGTGCATTACTCCCTAGGAAACCGCACTGATGCTAGCAGGGCTATTTGGGAAGAAAGGTGCTATTCAGCACGAGTAAGGCTATTGGAATCCAGCCCCTCGTGGAGAGCTTACAGAAGAGAGAGGGATTATTAGTTTGTTCCAAAAAATTGTGCTGGTGCAGCAGTTCTTTTGATTTGTGTGGGCTCCTCCTCTCCCCAGTGCATACCAGAGAAGCCTCTTATCACTTGCTAAGTAAACCAATGTAATCAAGTCCAATTCTGTGCTATCTGCATGGGAATTGAAAAAAGCTAACATGAAATCTTTCCCATGTACATGAACAAAACATGGCTCAGGTCACTATATGAACTGCACTCTAGGGATTTAAAAGGCCTATAAGTAAGATGTGAAAGACATTCACATTAATGCACTAAACAATTCAATCCCTTCTCTGCCCTTTCCTACTAAGTGAATTCATTACCTATCAAAAGTTATTGCTGGTCCTTTTTTATTCCATTTACTTCCACTACCAGTCACTGAGACGCATTTCAAACTCATTGCTCCAGGGTGTACCTACTTTATTTGGGGTGCATGCCAATTGTGAGGGTAGGGAAGGATCTCTGACTTCCTCAAGGCAGTGACCCATTTTTAGATAATTTCAGTGAGGGGCGGGAGGAGATAAAAATGTCACATCCCCTCATTCTGGGCTTTAAAAAAAAATAGCACAACTCCTTTGGTTCATAGCAGCTGCATTAACTGCAGCAAGGAGACAGGCATCTTCTGAGACTGTGACAATAATCCATTGTCAATTGCTGTACATTGCAATGCAGGCTAACTCCTCCCCCGCCGAAAACAAAATAGATATTCCCCTGCTTCCAACCAGACTGAAGTGCCATAGTCCTGACATTGCCAAGAGAATGTTTATGTATTTTTCTTCTAAGAATTGTCAGGTTGAAAGACCAACATCTCTGTCTCTGACAATACCACTCCAACAAACTTTCCTAATACAAAGCCATTTTCATGTTCACACATTTGTGACCCTCTTAGAAGAATTCACTTGCAATTTTGATGGAAATGGTTCCAAATATGTACACAACCACGTCTCTTCTGAAAAGAACACCAATTATTCTTAAATAGATCAGAAAGTGGCTCCTAGCTGAAACCCTTTCAATAATAACTATGAAAAGCCCATTTCAAATAAGCCTTATTATTACATTAAATCAATATACCTGTGAGTTTAAAGGAAATCAAGTGCATTTCTTATTTAAGCATTACTTTCTTTTGTGATACTTTAGAAAATCGCTAAAATTGGACACTAGGGCAAGATACTAGCTTTTCCTCCCTTTTCCTTTCACTAAATGCAGCAACTGATTCTCAAAAGTTGATTCACCATCTTCTTTCTAAATAAACAAAAACAGCAATACAGTATATTTATTGGAGTATTAGTGTCCAATAAAACAGTGTCAGTACTACAAACAATACCACTAGAGGCAACATTATCCAGTAGACAGAATACTGGACTGGGAATCAGGAGACCTGGGTTATATTCTCATCTAAACCAATAACCTTCCCCTTTCATGTCTCATATTCTCCATCTGTAAAACAGGGAAACTGCTACCTACCTTGGTTTATAAAGTATTTTGAGATACACAGATGAAATAAGAGCTTATTATTATTCATCAAATTAGCACAGACTAGCAATGATCTACTTATACTCTTAACAAATTAAACATTTTTCTGGGTTTTTTTAAATAGTGTTTTTCATTTTTACTAACAATTCAAGTCATTGATCAAGTCAGGGCAAATTTTAACCATCGACACCCTGATCATCCTTCCAAAACAAAATATTATCCAGTACATGCTATATTAAAAAGCTATAGCTGATTAACATTTCATTGCAGTTTATAAGCCACCTTTTGAATGACCAGAAACTATGTAATAGACACATCACACTTTAGGGGTTGCAACATTGCACCTTAGTTTGGCTGGTGAATGAGTCTTTGGAAATAGTAGATGCTTACATTTAACATTCATTTTCATAAGAAACCCGCATCATCCCACTCCTCCACAATTTCTCAGACACATGCAAAACTCTGTTTCAGAGGTGTTTTCTATCATAATTATTGCCCGGGTTTATGTTGACCCTACTCCAAATCCCTACTAATGATGCCATTTGGTGTGGCTTTTTTAATATTTTATCTGGTTTTATCTGATCTGTATTAGGATAATTTGAGATATATTCTGTTTTAATTCCTTGTGTAGCACCCTGAGTATGTTGGCATTTCATAAATAAATGAAGTTATTAATGATTATTCTTAGTCCAATTGAAACAAGAGAAAGCGCCAATAAGGTCTATCAAACCAGCCATCCAATCATCACCCCTACTGCTACAAAATGCAGTTAGATCCATTTGAAAATGTAGATCAAATTTCAACACACACACACATCCACGCACACACACACGCTGGAGCACCAGCTCCATAATGGAAAACTTTGCTTATTAACAGGTCCTCATAATACCCTGTGTCTAGCAGAACATAGTGGGTTTTAAACACTGTTATTCCAACTTTTGATGTGGTTACTAAATTATAGCGTTAAACTAATCTTTTCGGCCAATAATTTCAAAAGTGTTTCTTCAAAACCAACACCCAACTAGGGATCATGTCTAATACAGGAAATGTTGTTTCATCAAACTTGACATTTACTGCAAAGAAACAAAATGCATACATAGAATTTATGAGTCACCATGATATATTTATTAAGCATTAGATTGTGCTTTTATAACTGGTCTTCAAAGATTTTTCATCTCTTAGCCAAAGTGTCATCTTTTCTAATGACTCATAATGAAGACACATTCCATTTAGCTTAATTTTACTGGCTCATCAGTCTTTTATTCTCCAGCGGATAAGTTGTTCTTTTTACCACGTTCACCCCCACATAAGAGTGGCCATTAACTATCCTTTTTCATTATGTAAAAATCAGCTAATCAGGACTGTCCAAGAAATAAATGATGTTATGATTAAAGAGAGAGAAACATCTGCTTAGAATTATCCAGACTGCTGTTTCAGAACTGATAAGGCATTTATTGCCACAGTATTAAATTACAACAAGCATAAACTGTGTTTTTGGGGGAAATGTAGGACCTGCTTTACCTAAAGGGGAGAGGAGAAAAACGTAGTCCTGGAGTGTGCTCTATACTGAGTTAATGGAGAACCATGCCCATTGTCAACTGAAAACTGTGAAAACTGTGACAACTGAAATCTGCCAACTGAAAACTGAAAACTGTGTTGACAAAACTAATAGTGAAGGAAAGTAGAATGAAATCCCAAGCCTTATGTGAAGAACTGTGGTAGTGTGATGAAAACTACACCTTTGAAGCCATGGAAGAAGCAGCACTCCTGGTAAGCCTATGATAAAAAATAAACACATGCACTTTCAAAAATCACAACATTCAAAGGGTCATAATTCTCTTTCAGCCACAGCCATAAACTTTCCATTTATTTTATAACAAATGAAAGCACTGTAACAGTTATATAGAATAATATGGACCATATCCTGCTCACATGAATGCACACCATTCCCACTGAAAATGTGTGTGTATCTATTATTAAAATTTAGCTCTACAAAACCTCTGTAAAATTCAGTGCAAGTATAACTTGTCTAGACATGAGACTCTTATTTTGTCAGGAGAGTCTGACACATACTGTTTCAATGTCACGTGTTTTAGAAACTTGTTTTATTGACATTTGAATATCATTTTAAAAACAACAATGAAAATATAGAAAAATATCATCTGCCACAGACATCAGGTAAAATACCACATCAAAGCTGCACTGTATGCTAACCATTCCTAACTTGGTTTTCTTAGACACAAAATAGATTATCATGTAGGAATAGGGCATTGTGCCCCTTATCTATAACATTTAGACCGTGTAAATATGTGGGTCAGGGCAAGGAATAGGCAATCCCTGCACTGATCCAGTGAGGTCTGAGAAAAAATAAATTGCTAGGAACTAGGGTGACCAGACAGAATATGTGAAAAATCGGGATGGGGTGGGGGGGTAATAGGAGCTTATATAAGAAAAAGACCCAAAAATCAGGACTGTCCCTATAAAATCAGGACATCTGGTCACCCTACTAGGAATAATCCCATTCAAAGACAGAATGAATTTTACAGCCCTCGTGATTATGGAGACAAGCTTGAAAACATGAACCCTAAGGCTCAAAACCGAGAAGGCACTAAAAAGAACTCAATGTTTGTTATTTTTTTAAAAAATCTCATAATTTTTAATGCAATCTTGTGATGTTGGGGTTCTGACTCAATTTTTGAACAATTTGAGGTTGGCAATATAGTCATGTGTTCTTATTACTGTAGCTCTTGTCCTTCCTTACCCTATCCTCTCCCTTGTGTGGTGTCACCTACACCTGGCTCCTCAAATCCAAAATGTATTGGAGGCTTGGAAGCAAGGGAGCATGACTTCTTATTGGAAATGAACAGATCTAGAATACTTATGGATGTTGTAGCCAGAGCCATCCCTAGGATACGACAAATCAGGGCGACGGCCCTGGGCACCGCACTTTGGGGGGGCCTTCGCTTCGTGAGGAGTCAGGTGGCGAGGTGAGATGGGAGGTGGGGGGGGCAGAGGAGGAGCCCCCCTATCAACCTACCCCTCCCCCCAGCGCCTCCTGCACGCTGGCGGCCCCGCCGATCAGCGCTTCCCCCTCCCTCCCACTGCCAATCAGCTGTTTTGTCATGTCTGGAGGTGCTGCGGGGGAGGAGAGAGGGGCGGGACAGAGGTGGGGCCCGGAGAAGCATCCCCCGGCAGATAGAAACTCGGCACCTATGTCCTGGGCCCCGCACCTCCCTAGGGACGGCCCTGGTTGTAGCCATAACATTATGATAAAATAAATGGATTGAACCACATAATAAAATATGCAGCTTTAGGGAGACTATAAAGTTCACTACCTATTACAGAAATCTTTGATGTGCTACTCCTAAAATACATGAGTTGTGCTTTATTTTGTTTTTTAGGGAGTACATATCCTGTAGCACATGTACTGTACTCCATCGATATTTAAAATGACGTACAATCTAGAACTTGACTCTGGCTAAATTAACATACATATGACAAAGAATGAATGGTAGTTGGGGAAGAAAGGTATGTGGAAGAGCAAGTACATCCAGTCAGTCTTAAGCAACATAACCCAAGAAACCAGCAACAGCAAATCACTTGCTGACAGTGGTGGGTCTATTGAAATCAGACATTGACAAAAAGACCAACAACTAATGCTACTAGAAGATTGTATCTTGTAGTTTCCAGTTAGGTGCTGCATTAGCTTCAGTGAAAGCTTAGTGTAGTTTAACTGCAGGCTGAAAAGTCCTGTTGCCCTCCTGGGCCCAAGAGTGAACCTGCATTTAGTTTCCAGAGAAACTAACTGGAGTCCCACACATGGTATAGCAGTAGCTTGGGTTCCAGAAGAAGGATCAGGGAGTGAATTGAATTGTTCTTTTTGATTCCTTCATTCTCTAGATGTTACATGAAAAAAATGAGAAAATTCCTTTGATGGATTGCTCTTCAGTGCATTCTATATTCACTAACACCTTTAAAATACATATACAAAATTCAACCATGAATAATAAAAGATAATTAAGTAGCTGGCATCTTTCCCTATAAAACTCTTTTTATCAAGGCAACAAGATTCATTTTTTTCTGCAGAACTTTTGGAAGAGACTAACAATTCTGAGAAATCGAATACAAGCCCAGAGAGTGTCACTAGGAGCAAAGAGAAGATAAATTCTAGAGGCCAGTGAACTTACTGTCATCTCTCAGTCTCAGGAATTTAAATAAGAACTGAGCATGAAAATGAAAATACCTAGCAGAAAATTCATTAAAGGAATGTTTTCAAAATCAGGGCTGAACGTTTAAAATTTTCTTTGTCTTTTCAGAGCAAGAATGTAGTACCTGCCAACTTTTCTGCGAAGGGAAGCAGATGCCTCTTCATTTCAGCATATCATCTTAACGCATCAGACATTGCAAGACAAAGTCACCACCTAACTTTCAGTGCCACTAAAACATTGAACACCTAAGGAAAAACAGCATGCTTTTTACAAAGTATTTCCACTTTAATCCAAATGGCTGCAAACTCTGAGATCTACCTGGTTGGGAGATGGGAACATTGTGGGGGAATAATCAAGAAGTCATCGGAGAGCTTTTCAAACAATGTGTGGGGTTAGTTGGAAACATTAATGTGTCAACTGCCAAAATAAAAAATGCTTTGGTGGCATCTGAGAGGCCTTCATTTAAGTTCGGATGCTCATATACCACATGTGCTGGAACATAATATTTAGTTGGGTGTTTATCAGGTTTATGGAAAGATATTTTTCTCCCTCTCCTCTTTGCTAATTATTTATTTTAAAGCCATGGATTATTATATTTTGTCTGTGTTTTTATTAATATCACCATCAGTACTATTTCTTGACAAGCCACAGGAGAGGGAGTAGACATTCCTCTTGCATTATTACAGCTGATTCTCTTCTCTAGCCTCCCTACTAAGTGATGTTAGAATAAAGTTATCTGAAAACATGACATTAAAGACAGGAAGTAAGAATTTAAAGCTAACATTCCTTTATCTTGTTAAATACACTAGCAAGTATATTCTCCTAACACTTTTTATAAAACTCATTAGCAGATACAACTCTTTGCCTTACTCTGATGCTAGTGGCAGAGAAACTTTGCACAAGACAATACAAGGTATTGATTCAAAGCTATTATCAGGTTGCAGCATCTAAAACTAATGTTCTTAGAGAATCATACATGTCTTCATTCCCCAGCTGGCTCCACAATCTTTTGGCTTAGGGGTAGTGTAAGCATGTTCTTCCATAAATTCATTATGTGACACAGTCCAGCTGTTTCCCAGGACATTGGAGGACATGGGATAAAGAGGGCATGGACATGTTCATGACATTCTGACTTGCAATCATCAGGGTGGTCACAATAGCGGCTCTGGAACAGCAGTTTGGTCCTTTTCTCCTTACCATTCTAAGTGTTATATTAATGTAAATATTTGTAATTAATCTTTTCCCCAGCCTTCCTTTTTGTGGGTTTAAAAAAAAAGGGGGAGGGAGGAGATACAGAACAAACCATCATAGCTCTCTCTTCTGATTTCATTGGGTACTTCCATTTTGACATAGCCCAAAACTGGTACAACAATGGAACTACACAGCAAAGTAGCAGCCAAATCCACATGTACATAACTAACATTGCTATTACCAATTTACAATATTACTTACAGGACTGTGGAATAATCTGGCCATGCAAGTGGAGGAAATTTTAAATTGTGCATATTTAAATTCCATGTTACTTGGAACCTTATTCTTTCATTGTTTGCACAAACTGGCCTGGAGACAAGTCCTAGGTGAAGACTGGCCGCCTGTAAAGTTTCATCTTGTAAAATCCAGCCGCTGTTATGTTGTGTGGGGTGAAATGTCTTAACACTAGGAGAACATAAGAACGGCCGTACCGGGTCAGACCAAAGGTCCATCTAGCCCAGTATCCTGTCTACCGACAGTGGCCAATGCCAGGTGCCCCAGAGGGAGTGAACCTAACAGGTAATGATCAAGTGATCTCTCTCCTGCCATTCATCTCCATCCTCTGACAAACAGAGGCTAGGGACACCATTCCTTACCTATCCTGGCTAATAGCCATTAATGGACTTAACCACCATGAATTTATCCAGTTCTCTTTTAAATGCTGTTATAGTCCTAGCCTTCACAACCTCCTCAGGTAAGGAGTTCCACAAGTTGACTGTGTACTGCGTGAAGAAGAACTTCCTTTTATTTGTTTTAAACCTGCTATCAGATAAATTTG